AGTATCCGGCCAGTTTTTTCTTTGCTGTACAGAATCGATGAATTAGCTGCGTATATTATACGGATAGGATTTATTTCATACCTATAACTATAGTTAAAGCTTATAGGATATATGATATAATCGTATAATGCAATTCTACTCAACTCCTTATGGAAATTTTCTTGACTCATTCAGTGGCGAGTTGATTTTCGCGTGGCTGCATTTTCTATACAGAATGTTGCCCAGTATCCAGCCACTTCAGTTTAACATTGCAATAACTTTCCTTTCTTGGTCGCAAGAGTTCTGAAATTTGGCCCACAGACAATCCTTTCTTCATTCCCGTCATCCCCTTCGTCAAAGAGTCCGTTCTAGTCTTCCACGCCAGATACTAATAATGAGAGACGACTGGGGACGAGTCAGGCTCCGTCATATACCTGGTGGGAAGAAATCTCGCTCGGGCTACTGATTTTGCCGGAGAAAGTCACGAGAAAATATCTCGAATCACCTGAGAAAGAGAATCACTCGCACTAGGACATGCCAGTGATCTACTATCACTGCAACCTAGTCAAATACTATCATACCCGTTCAGCCCCCAAAAGGGTTTTTGACCTTGTAGAAAGCACAACAGAACGCGGGTGAAAGAGACACCTACGCCATTGGTCACTTTTTTGCAGCCAATGGCAAGTTAGTATTTTCGATCCTAGCTACTACTATTCTGACACCCTGTTTCGCTCTCTGCACCTAAGATTTAACCAAAGTAGCAACTGACTATCTCAAGAAAAACTAAATGGACTGCATCAGCGCTTAGAGAATGATCTTGACTGACACACAGCATAATTCTCCATACTTGATGTAGCTTTAGTTTTAAGCTACATTGTACAACTCCAATCTACAGATCTCCGGCACTATCGTGAAAATTCAACATCCTGCAAACAATACTTAAGAGCTGGGCCCAGCGCCACGCTGACATAGCAAGAAAAAAACACATTCACGGAAAAAGAAACTTAATTACATGCATGCATGTAGTTACTCAGATCCAGGCATTTCGGAGGAAACCAAAGGAACTAAAATCTTTATTTAGCCATAAGAAACAGAGGTCAAAGAAAATTAAAACACTTTATAACTGCATCTGAGATCAAATCTTATCAGGAACACCTACAGAAGCATAAACCACAGGAAATGATCACTCAGTATGCATGTAACAAACCAGCTTCGTGACCTGTTAATGTAAGCCTAGTGCGGCAAAAACAAGATTTACTCAGTCAAAGTTTAGAATGCACTGTGTAGTGTTAGTAACCGGCTTCGCGCGAGAGAGAAAAAAAGAAGTCGTGTTTAGCCTGTCAACGCTTATTTCCTACTATCCAAGTGTAACCAAGGAGGATAATAGGACTAAAGACGATGTAAAGAAATTTTTACGACAAAGGATTATCAATAGATCTTTTTCACATGACGTCACGGCGGCCAAATTTGTGTACAAAACAATGAATGGGCGGCCATGTGTGTGTACAAAAAAATATCCTGTGGGCTTTGAACTCTGACATGTTAAAACTTTCTTTTATTCCAAGCAATTTGCAAAGCTGCTGACCCCGTGACTGAAAAAATCTATAGCAGCCTTGAGGGAGTCAATAAAAAATCAAACACGCACACGTTTAATGGGCCTTATTTAAAGAAAAAAAAAACCACAACACTCCTTGCTTTCCCTCCAATATTTTGAGTTTGCATTGTTTCTTGGTGCCTAAAATCGTCTCGAAGAAAATTGTACAATCGAAGAAATTGCACAATGGTCATGCAAACTTTTGGCGGTAAAACGGTATTTTTGAATAGGGGCTGTTTCATAGATCGTTTGCAGTCACGTGGTCCAGCAGCTGCTTTGCAAATTGTTTGGAAGAAAAGAAAGTTTTGACATGTGAAAAGAGTTTAACTCCCAGAGGATCTTTTTTTTTGTACACAAACATGACCGCCGATTCATTGTTTTGTACACAAATACGGCAGCCGTGACGTCACGTGAAAACGAACTATAGAAGTCCTAACAACTGCCCATATTAGTGGAAATACTACGTTTTGATTGGCTCACCGATGGAGGGTTGTCAACTCATGACCGCTGTTGTAACCAAATATGGTAAATGAACTCGTCGTAGAGTTTTATATATCGTATATCAGTAAACAGCTTATTGCAAAAAGGTTGTGTTTTAATTTGAAATCAGTGGGGTCACTTCGTGCCTCGACCAAAGTGCTGCAATTCAACATCGCTGAACTTCATCCAACAATCTATCGCCATTTTCATACGCTGTATATGGGACCAAATAATGAACAGGGCAATCTTCTTGTTGTGTTTTGAAATTGCTGCTGGCGTTTTAGTGGCGAAAAAAACAGTGAGTTCTTGACTGCTATAATAGTGTTACTTCTCAAGCATTGTTCTCTGATGTTAATGTTAATGTTGTCCACCTCTGGGAATAGGTTTTTCAGACTCCCGCAAATTCGATTTAAACCACAGTAAGGGCCTGTTTACATGGAGTGGGGGACCCCGGTCTAGTGGGGTTGGTTTCTTTTGTTTTCACGCTCTTGGGGATACAAAACAAAAGAAACTTACCCCACTAGACCGGGGTCCCCCACTCCATGTAAACAGGCCCTTTGATTGGCAGCAATCTTGCGATTTTTACCATCCACGTTCAAAGAACCTTTAAACAAATGAGGTTGTAACAACCGTTTTTGATATTTTTGCAAATGATTGGCATAAGATTATAAAAGAACAAAAATGCGAGATGCATACACGGATGCTTTGATAGGCCTGGATAATGGTGAAAGATACAATTCGTAAAATATATAATTAATACAATCAAGAAAACACAATCGTTTCCTTGTGTCTCTATATCTTCTATACTCCACTCTGAATTATTCTCTGCCTTCATGCATAACTAATCGTAAATTTTAACATTCATCCCGCAACTGTTTATAGTTTAAGCTCTCCCTGGACACGTATCAAGTAAATAAGCTACTAAATTTAATCCTTTCTGTGGTTTGTTGGTAGTTTTACTCCTAGCTGGATTACCTCTCTGTAATTTGCTATTAAATGTCGCTGCCACAAAAAAAAACCTTTATTAAATAATACTATAACTAGCTGTATAACACCACCATACCAGAAAATCCAATGAGCTTTTGTACTGTGCCAAAACAGCAAAAACTCTTCGTTTAACTTTCCTTGTACATGCATATGTTTCGTTCTACAACAAAAGCTTTGAGAAGATTTAATAAAACAACAGTGTTGACAGCAAACTTTGTCTTAAACGTCTTTGGGAGCAATTTCTTTATATTTCACTAAATTTGAAATATTTCGCGCCGTTGACCGTTCGTGCCAACAACTGGTTTGTGGAAAAAACAGGCTTAGACTGCGTTTTAAGATTCACAAAGGAGCAAAGCTCTTCAAAGATTCCGGATTCCAAATACTGGACTTTAGATTCTTTGTCAGTGGAACTTGGATTCCGGGATTTTAATTGTTAGCGGGATTCCCGATTCGTTGAGTTGAATTATTTATTCCAAAGCCAGGATTCAGATTCCGCTAACAAGCAAAAATGTCCCGGATTCTAGGTTCCACAAGCAAAAATTTCACGGATTCCGGAATCCTGATAACCTTATGAGGCGATTAGAGCCTATCCTCTCTGATTTACCCAGATTCAAAGTCCAAGCTTCTTCCAAGATTAGAAAGGCAGCCTCATTAAAGGGAATCGGATTCCAGAATCCGGGAAATGTTTTGCTTGTGGAACGTGTAATCCTGGGTTTTGGAATCTGGAATACAGGTCAATGAATTCCGGACTCCCACTAACATTTGGAATTCGGAATGCAGGAATCCGGAATCTAGAATCCTGAAGATTGTCTTGAACTCACTTACATGGGGCGAGAAAGGGAATGTTGTCACCTTTTGCATGCTCAGCGAAAGAAATCATAATTGTCTATCTTAGCTTATCTTCTACTGCCAATTAACTGATTTTTGCCTCGATTGCAGACTAATGTCAGGAATGCACGAATCCGTGGTGAGGACTTATGTCTTAAATTTATATTTGGGCAGGTGAATAGAAATCTACTTAGAAGTGTGGCTTACTATTTTTGAGCCCCCTGGCTACTCTAGGCCAAATACGAGAGGTGCACATGCACAAACTTAGGAATCGGGGGAGGTGCTTACTGTGAGATAGAACCCTTAGCGCCTTGATAGACTCGGGAAAATTGTAGGTGATATCAAATATCTAGTTACGTCTGCAGGGTTCTCTAAACTTGCATACGACGGGTCATGTACCTACCAATAGGAAGGAATCTATGTGCTATTCGTGGTGACGTGCCTCGATTTTTCAATATATTTGTTTTAATTTCTTATTTTTGAGTTGGTAGGCTTCAAATGACTGGTCCTACAGGTAATAATGAGCTTTGCGTCCCCTCGACCCTGCTGCACATTTTAAGGGTCCCGGAGAAACAGAACTCTACCTATTTCCCGTAGGGCCCGGGTATCTCCCGGGGGGGGGGGGTTACCATATATGGCCTATATAGGTATGTGCCGCTCCGAAGGGTATGGTTTTTAAGCAGTTTACTGTGGCATAGGGTATATAAGTCAGAGAGTTTGGGTCTAGAAAAGAGTATCATTTTCCAGGAAACTGATGAGTTCTTTGAAGATTTTGTTTAGACTAGGGAAATCAGGAATTACCATTCAAGAATACAAAAAGTGAAATCGGTTTTATTTTGGCTGGACTGTGCTAGTGACCTCCTTATTTTCTTGAAAATAGCTACTCTAGGATAGGGGGGATTTGGGTAGTTTGGTCAAGTATAGTGTAGCAAAATGCAGTTGAGCTAGCTCTGGTATAGGCTAAAGGTTCCAGATTCCAGGCGGCACATCCCCACCCAAAAATTCCTAAAATACCCCCTCTGGGAGCCCAGCTATTAAGTACCTACATCTCTCTTGGTGCCTATAGTCCACTCAGGTTTTTCTTGATCTCTGTTCTATAAAATTACAATGCATTTTAGGTAAAAAGGTGCTGCATTGTGAAGTAGCCATTGTGGGTGGTGGAATTGGAGGACTGTATACAGCAGAATCTCTCCTTAGACACAAGAAAGAAACTAACGTGTGCGTGTTTGAAAGGAACGCGCGTCTTGGTGGACGATTCTACGATTACGTGTTTCCTCAGGTGCCGGATGAAACTGTGGGTAGGTGTATATGGCTAGTATTTTGGCCTTTACTTAGAAAAGCAATGTTTGCTATCTCGAACCCAGGGCGCTTCGTGGTATTTTCGGCTGGAGTCGCGGCGTGAGGTCATGGGAAGCGCAAAAACTTTGAGCCTTCCCAAGTGTTCGCGTTTTGCAAGTTCTCCATGATTCTTCTCGCTGCATACTATCCCATGCCCGACAAACTACATGGCAGACAGACAGGCAACCACGCCAGACCTTGATCTACAGTAATACTATTAATACATAATACAAACAGCATGCAATGACATATAAAATTCCAACAGGTTTACTGACTTTTCAAGACAGCTGTTAAAAATGGACTATTACGAACTTTTCATGACTGTCTAGAGTAGGGAAGCGTATATCGTCACGTATGGATTGAAGGAACTAGGTCCATAACAGGAAAAAGTTAAGATACGTAAACATGCCGTTGCCAAATCTCTGTTTCTTTTTTTTAGGCCTGGGCGCCTGGAGGATTGATCTGGCAAATTACAACCTTCGGTAAGACTCTCCAATCAAGCATTGTATTATTATCAAGAAATCTTATGACTTCTATCCCTGGGAACTGTCCCAGGGATGACAGGGCTTCCTTGGGGGCCCGTGCATCCCTGTGTTCCCCAATTATCTTGTCCCTTCTCAACTCAGACCCCCCCCCCCCCCCCCCCCCCCCCCCCCCACAAAAACTCGCCAATCTCACAAAACAGATCCTGCACACGATGCGGAATAAAAAAAGATTAAAATCAAAATAAGAAAAAATAGAAAAAAATAGTTAAAATCTTCTTTCCTTTTTGTAGTTAGGCTTACCTCGACCAATATCGGAAGCACATCGTGTATGCACAGACTGGCGATCCCCCCAGAACAGGTTGGGGCTGGGTTTTAGCACGTGTCCTCTCGGATCTTTACAAAAAATTTTTTTCCCTCTTCCCCCGGGAACTTCCCCCGGGGAAAACGGGCTTCCTTGGGGGCCCCGTCCCCCCCTTTTTCCCCAATTTCTTTTCCCCTTCCCCACCCCCCCCCCCCCCCCCCCCCCCAAACACATCCCTAAAAAAGCTCAGGTGGGACACTAAAGATACTCCAGGATTCGCTCAAGATACAAACATCTATAAAGTGAAAAAGTCAAAGAAGAATCCTGAATTTTGGGTGTTTATCACGGTTTTAGTAGTTCGGCTCCTAACTCCTGGTAACGGCCCATACGAAGTTTTTCAACTCGGTAGCATCTCTCAAATTATGTGATAGCTGACGACTGAGTCATATGAATAAGGGATTACAGGTGACCAAAAGGTACGATGTCATGACATTCATTCCAGCTCAAGTTGTTGAGCTTGCAGTGCAAATTCCGCTAATATTGGAGCGGAATATCTGAACTATGTTTATATATTTTTTTTACTGCTATGCAGGAATATTCTTGAAAGGTTGTCCATTCCGTACGAGGAGTGGAATTTTTACGAAAACTCGCGTACTGAGACCAGAGGACAGTCATCTCGCGAGGACCACGAAATCAAAAAACAGTCCTTTCCAACTCTACTAAAAGGCAAGTTTCAGAATATGACCTGGAGTGAAATGCATCAATATCTTTTCAACGAAGAGCATGTGAGAGAAGCGGATAGATTTGCCACTTTCCAGACCTACCAACAGAATATTCTCACGCCAGAGGGATCGGAATTTTACTTTGATGTCTTTGGTTATGAAGGCGACTTAAGAGGAGGCGAGTATTAACCCTCGGACGTACATGGGGGAGGCAGGGGTGGGTGGGGGGTGGGGGTGATGTGATGGTCAGGGATATGACGTAATAGGTAGCAGGTGGTCAGGCCATTTTTGAGTGAAGTTTTTTCAACTTCTTTCAGGAATAAAAGAAAAACTTGTGGATAAAATGATGCAAAGTTATTTTGCATGCTAAGTGCAAAAAAGTATTAGTTCTCACTGTTTTTACCTGATTTCTAATTCTTGATAAAATCCAAGATAGCGGCCAAGATGGCGACCATGTTTGGTGACGTCACAGACCTCCAGCAGCACCACCATCCATAAAAGATACCTCATCCTGTAAAAAAAATTAAAAAGGCTTTTCACTGAAGACAAAATCGTTTCGAAATATTGCAACATAAAAAAACTCTGTCAAAGTTCCATCAATCCCCCCTTGTGCCACGGTAGGAGTATGACTTTGCGTGTACGTCCGAGGGTTAAGATCAGTTTGTTACTTTACTGTATCTTACTCTTTTCTTGTCAATTTCTTGACTGGTTTTAATTAACATCATCATATGACGATTGTAATGCTTTTTTAGATTTTTTTTTTGTACTGCAGAAAACGTTTTTCCAAGTTGGGCTATTTTAACCATGGAATCTTGATTTCGGAAATATCTTTGTAAAAATTATGATTTTTTATACGCTTTGAAAATTAATACACTCAAACAATTTGTCCATTACAGGTGGAAAGGAGGTTAGAGTTGATACATCCCTTCCTGATTTAATACGTAAATTATGTTGTGCTAGTTTTTATTAATAAGTATAATTTCTATAAGAAACGAAAGAGGTTTGTATCAAAACAAGGTCAACCTCAGCCTCACGTTCACTCAAAGTCTTGGATACTAAGCCCACAACTGTAAAATGGTCTATTCATCTCACCATATAGCTCGATCTAAGATTGAAAGCGTTGAATGGATTGTAAGACTTAATTTTAGATGGGATCGGAGTCATAACGTCTTCTGAAATGCAATTCAACAGGTGCTACAGGTGTAGTAGAGTACTACAAGCTCTTAGACGAGGATTTTACAGGGAACGAAATCCGCCCCGTAAAAGGAATGTCTGCCATCACAAATGCTCTCGAGAAATCTGCCAAAGAACTTGGAGCAAAGATCTATACTGGAAGTGAAATCTCATCGATAAACCAAAGAAAAAACATTTTTGTACTCAGAACATCAACAGGTAAGATTAAAGCAAAAAAGCTCGTGGTTGCTGCTCCTCCAGGGTCTTTTAAAAAGATTCGTGGCAGCGTGGCACGAATGATTCAACAAGAAGAGGAGTTTAAATCTATCAAGGCCTTCCCGGCATTCAAAGCGGCGGCAGTTTACGAAAGGGCGTGGTGGGAAGACATTAAGGACGAAGCAACGCAATTGTATCCCATGGAGAGATTCCTGTCTAACAGTGATTGCCTTGGATGGACCCTTCCTCACAGGTGAATAGCACACTCTGTGATTAGTCAAGTTCGGCTTGATGTCAATGAGAACTCTCGAAAACTAACAGCACGGAAGAAAGGCGTACTGACAAATCTACAGTGCTAAAAATCAAAACCAAAATTCCACTACACAATGTTTAGAGCCGTGAGCCGTGTAGCACGGCAGCGCTTGTCGAACTTAATTGCTCGCCGAACTTAATTCAAAAGTTTGACTCAGACGCCGTGCTTCTGCCGTGCTTTTGTCGAACTTAATCACTGGCCTGAATTTAGTTCGGCACGGCAGAAGCACGACGTCTGAACTGGGCCTAACACTTGAAGTTTTTATACAACTTCTTTTATTATCTGTCTCGTCAACCTCTTCGATCGCGATTTTATTATCTTCGTTAATCTTCTATAGACTGATGAGTATATTTCGCCTAAAAGAAGGCAAGAACCAATCACGTGACCTTAGTCACATTTGTCCAAATTCCCCACATACTGAAGATCAATATCAGAGTTTGCCGCTACGATCAGCATTTATCAACTATCTATCATTCGCTCTCTTATAACAGAAAGTGACTTTTCTCTTTCGTTTTCTTTAGTGCGCGCGGTAAAAATGGCGAAGCGGTGCTGCACCTTGCGTATAAAGACGGCGAGTGTGGCGAAAAATGGGGAAGCATTCTAAACTCAGTTTCCAAGTCACTGGTTGACCAGGAAGTTCATCGTGCTATTGAGTATAAGTTTAACATGACAGTTCCTAAGCCCTTGGAAACAGTCTACAAGTACTGGAACGAGGGAGCCTGGTAAGAAGCATACTGATTTTGTCTTTTTACAGTGATTCTTCTCGCATCCATCGCTCGAAAGTTTTGGTTTCTAGCTCTGTCTCTCGCATGCTGTTTTGAGATAAACTTTGCTCGAAACAAAATTATGTTTACCTTCTCAAAAACAAAAAAATAAAACAATTTAACAATAAAATTTTCCAGTTGGGTTTTGAACTTGCCTGCGAATACAGCCGTCAGCGCGAGGAACGTTTCGCTGGAGAGACGTCTGTGCTTCACTGACAGAAATTCCATATATTGATCTTAATCCAACGACTATCAGATTTATTGCGCAGTCATTGCTTGGCATGATCAGTATGGAATTTCGGTGTTTGTGGCGCAGACGTCCGATCCGCGAAGCGTACCCAACGGTGAGGGACTAGGAGATACGGCTGTATTCGCAGGCTAGACTGGCATTCACAGATGGAGTCCATGGGCCTTATTCACACGGCGGCCATATTGTTCCGAGAGACTGAAAAAAGCTTTGTTTTACCACCCTCGACCTCGCAGTGAAAACGTGGAAGCGCGAGGCTAGACAGGTAAAACAAAGCTACTTTAGTCTCTCGGGACAAAATGGCCGCCGTGTGACAAAGACCCATTGCTAAGTGGACATTGGAAAACTGTTGTCTGGTCGGTAAATGTACACTACTGCCATGTCTGCTACCGTTTACATTTGCTATATTTGCTATTTTTCATTTTGCGCAGGTACCTACAGAGGCCCGGGTGTAACGTGTCGATGAGAAGAGTTGAGAATTGGGCAAAGAAGCCATTTCCAAGGAAACAGATTTACATTGTAGGCAGTGCATACAACCCGTACCGAGCGTACTCCGAGGGAGCCTTGGTTTCCGCTAATAACGCACTGTTGGAGGGTTGGGGTATACCTATTCCGAGTCCCGGAATAAACACTCGCATTGTTGAACCTTTACATAAAGCCGGCGGAACAAATCTGAGAATGATTCGTTAGAAATTGGGAAGTATTATTATTTCATGGGAAAGTGTTGTAAAGTTTGTTTTAAGGGTCGTAAGTTTCCTCATTCACGCAAGAAAAATGATTGCAGGCGACCAGAGGAAACCGCAATCCAAATCTGAGCCTTTTTACAGGATTACGCATCACGGAGGGTTTTACTTGTAGTCAACATTCGTTTGGCCGTTCACCAAGAATGACTGGAATACATAGCACACAAAGCGCAGCGTTAGAGCAAGAGCATTTTCACCTGAAAAGCGATCGATCTCACCCACACTCCCCTGGTATTAGGTCGTTTCGCCCGATAGCAGTTCGCTCAGACTAACTCGATTTCCCCGAAGCGTATTTGTCGTTCTTTAAGCCTAAAAAAGGGAATAAGCATGAATAGACACACAGTGACTGCACATGTGGAATCCAAGGTTAACTAAAACAACATCTCGAAAGGTATGTCTATCAAATTGTAGAGTGATGTACATGAACAAGCGAATCGACTTACGTCCTGGCGAACGCCGTCGGGCGAATTGACTTTCGGGCGAAACGACCGCAATTTCACTCCCTAACCTTCGGTTATTACTAGTATATTACAGGTAAAAAGGCTAAGAGAGGACTGAGATGTAAGGAAATATTTCTTTTGAGGGGGAAGGGAAGGGGGGTACGCTTAGTTTAGGCCTCAGATTATTCAGTTAAAGGAAAGGAAACTTTGACGTTTCAATCGGTTTTTGGTGAAAGAAGATTTGTCAAATAAAGACAATCAATACATCAGTTTATTGCCTGAATTGTCAGTAGTTCCCGTTTTTTGGGCATCATGAATTTAAAAGCAACAAATCCTTTCCACTGTGAAAATAATCGTAATTTAGTCAATATTTCTTGTCTTGAATAATAATATTATTCTCGTTTTCGACCGACCGATCCCTTTTTTGAGAGAGGGCGATGAGAAACGAGACACTTCATGGGCGTGGCCGTACAGTCTCATAAACATCTTCCTCGGTGTCGCTAATTATATAACTCCCCAGTATGTTTCTTGGAATTCCCCTTCTTCTCTTTCCTCTGTAACAGATGTTGTGAACAAGTCCTCTGTAAGGTAAGCCAGAAAATTTTCTTTCATGTCTCGAAGCTTTAAAAGGACTGTGGAAAGATCGGCATCTTCGCAGTGGCGGAACATGTTATTTTCTGGGATAAAAAAGTTGGGCAAGTTTTTGCTCTTTACACAGTAAATCATTTGATCCAGAAGTTTCTCCAAGAAGACACCTCGGCTCAGAGATTCTCTTTTACGACGAGGCAAGGACTCTAATACATGGAAAAGGACAGTTTTTAAATGGTAAGAGGCAATAACCTTTGGTTCTTGAAGGTATTTTCTTCTCAGTGCTTTAAGAACCATAAGACACTGCTTTTCCCAAGGCTTTATAGCCGAACTGAGAAGCAACTCCGCTGAGCTAAAGCTAAATCGCCACTCTAAAAGTTTGTTTGAGGTAAACGGGTGTGGCTTGGCAAGTAGGTAACATGGGAGAGTTGAGATTTTTTCTACTATACTTTGGCAAGGCCAGCACCTTTTTCGTTTCAGCCAAGAGTTTTTGACACTCACAGGGATGTCGCATAATATGGCAGGTGCGATGTCTATGATTTGATTTTGCCACGAAATGTCACGCTGGCGGTCTTGGATAATCGATAACGTGTCAAACAGCGCTCCTAAAGCACAATCAGGCCAAGTCGTGGAGTCAGGCCAGATAAGACAATGAATTGGTTCTTTGAAGAAAATTGTCATCACTGGGTAAAGATCAGCGACACTTTTCCGCTTCATGCCAAGTTCGAGACCTGTGGCAAATTTTGTTCCCATCACCATGGTCACTGCATATTCTACTCGTCTTTCAAATACCCTAACAAATTTATGTGAAAGAAACAGTTCGTCGTTATGTACCTCGTAAAACATTGCCATAGGGTCCCTAATTATATCCTGCATAAAGGGTGTGTCCTCCAGCGTAATGCGTGTAGCATCCAGCACTTTCAAATTGACATAGCCGGGATTGGGCCCTTCTATTGAACAACACTGCAAAACTCCATCGTCTCTTTCACTAGCAGTCACGTCCGGTAAAATAAGCATAAAATCCATTTCTTGTGAAATGCCACCATCGCTTGGGCACTCTGCGATGTGTGAACCCTCAAACATGCTCCCTACTGGCAGAACACACCTTCGAAGCTGGCTTATTATCCGTTCTTCTTTAACAGCTTCGAAAATTAATTTGTGTTGGGTCATGTTGAGCAGGACAAAATTGTCATACTTGAATAACGCTTTTTCAAGCCCAAGATGTCGTAGTGTCCTCTGGTTTGCAAAACACCTGCAAAAAGTCGCGATTATTACAAAAATAAAATGACAGACTGTAAGTTAGAAAACTATCAAGGAAAACTATTTTATAAAAATGCAAAGGAATTAGTAAACTGATTAAAACAGCATGTTTAATCTAAATCTGCTCATTTGAAATTGTAACGAATCATATTCACCTGAGTCTATAAACACACAAGGCCCCCATAATTAGGGTACACTGGTCTACCAGGTGCGCGATACAGTGGCCTATTAAATACTTCATAAATAGTTTCAAGTCTGTTTGATTTTATCTGAAACGAATATCCCCCTTATCCCAGTTATCGCCCCATTGTGGGTGGGACGGGACATACAATGCCTGCTTGGTTATGCATCCGACATTTTTTTTTTTCGAAAAACGGGCTATTCAGAACTTATTTGGGCTTTGCCACAGGCAGCCCAGTAATAATTATTACGCATTACGTTTCTTTTCACATATTTTTTATTCGAATCTAGTTGTTGTCCTAGTTGTTGCTCTGGGTGCTAATGGATCAAGAAAGAACAGACGTCTATTTTGAGTGATTACAAATTGACGATAAATATACAAAAATAATGTGAAAAAAATACAGAATAACGTTTCAACTCTCTCGCGTTACAACTTTGCATCAAATGAAAGAGAGAACTTTATTGACAAAATCTTCGTTTAGTCTTTTCGAGCCCTCCAACTGAAAGAGCTCAGACAGATGATCAAGCAAGGCTCTCCTTACTTTCTTCACATCTTGAAGCGCATTACTGATTTCAACTGAATCAAAGCTATCCAGTAGGTTAACACTGGGAATGAAAAAGTGACGTAAGTTCTTCTCATTCAAAAAACAAATTAGATTGTCCAGGAGTCTCACAAGTAATTCGCCTCTTCCCAAACCTTGTCTCTGACTTAGAGGGATTGATTGTAAATACCAGAAAAGGACTGTCTTGATGACAAACGATGATAAAATTTGAAAGTTCAGTGAATGCTTTTCAATTAGAGCTTTTAAAATCACCACACACTGCCTCTCCTTTGGTCCTGTTTCTGAGAATAACAAATACTCTGATGTGCCGAAGGTAATCTGCAATTCCATTACCTCCTTGTTTGTCAGATGGTCATGTTCATTTCTGAAATTGTTCCACAAAGGAAGAAGATAACAGCAAGACTGTGCTATTTCTTGTACAATGGCTTCACTAGGCCAAAATCTATCTCTTTCAAGCCACATGATTTTTGCATCTTCAGGCCATTCACATTGAAAGGCTGGATACACATTAAACGTTCTAGCTGGCCAAAACTGGCTGCTCCAGTTAGTAAGGTTGACCCACATCATTTGAGCATTTGTCATTGCATCCCCTGCCCATGTGTCTGGATCTAGAGGCAACATATCTAATCTTTCATTGATGGCCTTGAAAAATGAGACACGCAATGATGGACAGGGGCCTGTGCAATTTTCTTTGCTGTCCCTTGCTATCATTTCCATCCCACCTGGTTTCTGTGCAAGGACCTTACCCAAGGAATTCTTGATTTTTCCTTCAATGGTTTCCATGAAAGTTTTTTTTAGATAAAATTGATCACTACCTTCATGCAGAAAATGACGGCAACCCCTTAAGTTTGACACTGCGCTATCACTGGCACCGAGAATGTAATCTGAAAATACGATGGATGGGTCAGACAGTTTCAGGATTACTTGATGTGGCCTTCCATTTTGCTGCAAATACTGTAAAGTGTTTCCAGTGGACTCTCCAGCTTTTGGTGTTGGCAGACAAACAAGGAAATCAAAGTGAGTTGCACACTCTTCCCATCTGTGTAAATTCCTTGGAAGACAACAACCTTCAAATGCACTTCCAACCATAACACATGGCCATTCTGTGCCTTCAGCAAAACACTTGACTGCACTTAAGATAGTTTGATGTTGGCAGTGGATGTAAACTAAGAAATCATCATATTGTCTCAGTGCCAGTTCAAGAGACAAAGTGGGCACCTTCAAGAAGGTGTCCCCAGTCGCAATTTTTCCACCAGGCAGCCTGGATTATAGAAAAGAATACTATTTTATTTTGTATTGTTATTTTTGATTCATTTTGTGTGTGTTGTTGGGAGATTTTAAAACATTGCATTTGGAAGAAAAGTATTCCTTCTATTTGACCATTCTCACACTTGGAATAATGCAAAACTGAACCAAGGATGACAAAAAACATGGTTTCAACTCAGAATTTCTTTAGTTAAGTCAGCCGCACAATGGATTGTGAGAGTCCTGAAGAGAGATTGTTGGTGATTAGTGGCTAGTAATTCACCAGTCAAATGTGTGAAGATCATCACTGAACTAAGAGAATATAGATTATAATAAATCAAAAGTAAAGCAGTCATTCTGAATTGGAAATATTATCAACGTTTAACCCATGGGTGCACCTTGGAAAAAGCTTGGGTACCCTATGAAGACAGTGCCAATCAATAACTTTAATAAATGTTTTTGAGGCATTTCTCAAAGATTTCCCCCCTGAAATTGCCAGGCAATCTGCAAATACTGACCTTATTTCAAATCAAACAAACCCCTATTTTCAGAACTGGTCTTTAAGAAATTATGTTTTCATTTACACTTAGATTGGAACAGCAACAAATTTCAAATTTGTATATTTCTCTTTCTTTCTTACTCATTTGGAATTTTAATGATAAATACATTCATACACTCTCATAATTCCCTAGAAAACCATACCCATTTTCAGACCAAAATGGTGCAAAAAACCTGCCCTTTGGGGTGGCAGATACCTAGTATATGGCTTATATAAGGGAGTACCACTCCTGACCTCAGACCCAGGAAACTCAAATACCCCCCTCTCCCAGAGCATGCACCAAATTTGGAAAACCCAGGCCCAGACCACCCCCTCCCAAATCTGGAAAACTTAGACCCCCCACTCCCCAAAACCTGCCAAATTAGATTTGTCCACTGAATAGCGTTATCCACCATTGGAACAACTGGCCGGCGCCAGCATTATTAGCTATAAAGGCAATGGTACGTTTGATGCCCTTTTCATTTTTTAGTTCAATGATTTGATGCCCCTTTCATTTAGTAGTTTATAAGACACTCACCAGTAATAAATAAAGCCAGCTAGCAAGGAAGCAACAATAACTG